CCTTATAAAACAAGGTTGAATAAGTTTTGTTTTCAAAATATTTTAAAATTTGATCTGATAAAATATAGGTTACAAAAAATAGTTTTTTTTGTGTTTAATTTCGCGCAAAGCTCCACGAGGACTATCTGCGTTAGCCGTACCTAATTTAGCAGTGAAAGGCTAGAGGGAAGGCAGTTAGTCATCACCGCCCACGCTTTTACTAACGAGTAATGGGATTGACCGTCACATTATAACGCCCCCACAGCTGAAAGGGCGGGAATTCGAACCCACGACCCTCAGATTGCGAGTCAAGCGCTCTAACCACCTGGCCCAAAACAAACGCCTGTACGATGTATATATAATTTTCACAAATACTAACGTTCACTTTGAACTCTGTGATTAAAACAATTCCTAGTTTGAAAATACATGTTAAATATTATTCTTCTGTATTAATTTTAAATTACAAAGAGGTAAAATTTGATTAGCTTCTCTTGATTTTAATGTTTAATTGTTATCATGTAAACAATTGTTTATTTTAACTTTCACACAAAACTACTCGAGGTTTATCTGCCCAAGTCATCCCTCATTTAAAAGTGATAGACTAGGAGGAAGATAACTGGTCAATCCCACCCACCGCCAACGCTTAGACTAACTCTTTAGATATGAAAAGTGCGATTGACCATCCAGTGTCTTAAATATATTTCAAAATATAAAGTTTTTCATCACTTGCCTTTATTTAAAGATAGTGTAACATGATAAATTGAGTACTGTAAGATTAGCTAGTAGTTTCTTATTACTTTGAAGATGCAGACACTTGAGGTATAGAAGCTGTCGCCCCCTACTACATTCGGTTGTATTAAGATTTATAAATGCAAATAAAAATCAAGTTAAAGAAAATAGCTTATTATAAAAGAGAATCTTTTATTGGATTAATATAGATTAAACTGTAGGTAAGTCACGTTTAAAGATATTTCAGTTAATTATCGAAGAGATAGATCGAGATTTATGATAAGGGATATTTTAAAGCAGTAGCAGAATTTAAATAAACT